GAAACACCCATCTTTTGAGGGCACCAGATTTCACTGCTATCTCCAGTCCCTGGATGGAAACAAAACCCTGGATCTGAGCATGAACAGAACTTTGAAGGAAGAGGGGATAAATATGGATTTGAGTTTGTGTGGCGGTGGACTATTAATCGCCCATTTCAAAAAAAGCACTTTGCCATCAATGGGACTTAAACAGTTAAAGTTAAGCATGCACTTTAGTGCTGTCCTGAATAGGAGAGCTTTCCTTAATTATGATTCATGATTTGAATAACTATCACCCAGTTGATAATATTCCCTTCTTGGGCAAGGTACTCAAGTGGGTGGTGGCATTACAACTCCAAGCGTTCTTGGAAGAAACAGATTATTTAGATCCATTTCAGTCTGGCTTTAGGCCGGGTTTTGGAACTGAAACTGCCTTGGTCGCCTTGGTAGATAACCTACGCCAGGAGATAGATGAGGGGAGTGTGTCCCTGTTGATTCTCTTGGCCCTCTCAGCGGCTTTTGATACCATTGACCATGGTATCCTTCTGGAATGCCTGGCGAAGTTGGGTATTGGAGGTACTGTTCTAGAGTGGTTCAAGTCTTACCTGTTGGGATGCTTTCAGAAGGTGGCGCTAGGGGGATGCTATTCGACCCCGTTGAGATTGTGCTACAGGGTCCTGCAAGATTCCATCTTGTCCCCTATGCTCTTTAACATCTACATGAAGCCACTGGGAGAGGTCATAAGGAGTTTCGGAGGATGGTGCCATCAATATGCAGATGACTCCCAACTCTATTTACCTGTGACATCAGAACCAGGTGTGGCGGTGACTGATCTAAACTGGTGTCTGGAGGCGGTGATGGACTGGATGAAGTCAAAAGCTGAAGTTGAATCCAGATAAGACTGAGGTCCTATGGATCAGGAGGCCATCTGTTCAGGAATGTGGCATAGTACCTGTTCTAGATGGGGTTACTCTCCCCTTGAAAGAACAGGTATGCAGCTTGGGAGTCCTCCTGGACCCTTTTTTAACCTTTGAGAACCAGATTTCTTTGGTGTCAGGAGCGCTTTAGGGCAGCTTTGTCTGATGCACCAGCTGTGACCCTTCCTGAACAAGCATGACTTGGCCACAGTGACCCATGCTCTTGATACATCCCAATTGGATTACTGTAATACACTTTATGTGGGGCTGTCTCTAAAGAGCCTTTGGAAACTTTAATTGGTGCAGAATGCGGCTGCTTGAGTTTTAACTAGTACTTGTTATCCGGAGAACAGTGCTCCAGTATGTTTCCGGGCACAATTTAAGGTCTTAGTTATGACCTATAAAGCCCTAAATGGGTTGGGTCTAGGGTATCTGAAGAACTGTCTTTCCCATATGAACCTGCCCGGGGACTGAGGTCAGCTGAGGAGGCTCCGCTCAGTGTTACCCCACTTATTTAGATAAGATTAACATCTACATGGAACAGGGCCTTCTCAGCTTTTGCACCCAGGCTGTGGCATTCTCTTCCTTGGGATATTCACATAGCACCAATGTTAGCATTGTTTCAGCATCAGGCTAAATCCACCCTTTTTACTTGTGCTTTTATTGGTGTTTGAGTCTGTGTGTGGGTGCCCCTCTCTCTTGACATTTTTAGCAGGTTTTATGTCCCTCTGGGGTCTCGTATTTTAATTTTTTATATATATTTGTATTGTGTTTTTAAAAATTGTGTAAGCCGCCTCAAATATTTTAAATAGAGAGGCAGGGTAAAAATATTTTAAGCAAGCAAGCAAATAAATAAATAAATAAATAGGACCTGTTAATTTAATGCATTATTAGGAAAGAGAAACATTTTCTTCCCATGCTTATTCTGGGCTTTGAAATCAGACAGTATAATTTACTCCCACTATACTCAGCAAACTGGAGCATTCAATTAAAAGAAAACTCGACCCAAAGTACCCCCATCCCTCAGAAAAAACCCTCCAATACTGAAAGGCAGAGTCAAATGTTTTCTGCCAATCTATTTCAAATTTTAATGGAAATGCTTTATGCTGCTCTGAAAGGCTTTATGGAATGAAATGTATTTTCCATAGAAGAGAAGAATATAGGAAGATGTTGTTCAGGTTTACAAAATATGTTACTAGGGTGAAGAATGTGGAACCAGATAAGAAAGGTTAAATTGAAGGACATTTTAACAATGGTTGGTTTTAGTTTAGTTATGGAGTGTGTACAGGCATAAGGAGACTATTAAATACATACTTCTTCATTGCCACAGTAAGCTTTCGAATATTGAAAATGGTTTTCTGTGGCTATTCACTTCAGCTAAGATTTTGAAAAGTGGTCTGTAATTTGGGGTGCATAACTGGGGTGCTCAGCCCTTGCTGAAAAAAAGTTTCATAAAGGTGCTACCTAAAATCATCAGTTACTTCTGAAAATCATGGTCTCCATTGCTAGGGTCAATACCCCAAGGAGGTATTAACTCATCCCTTCCGAATATCTGCCTCAGCACAACCCATTTGGCGTCATTATCTGAAAATACCTAGTTTCCCAGCGGGATTTGCAAGGTCTAAGAATTAGTCCCTTTGCTTTTCCATGATGGCACAAGATTTGTTTTCTTAGCACTGGCACTCTTTAGAATTGACTTGTATTGTGTATTTGGGATGTTTGCCTAATACACAGAGCGTCCATACAGTACCCTCAGCTTTATGAATAAAATTACAGAGAAACTAAAGGCCATCTCTGGCTTCTTCCAAAACTTCCCCAGTTTTCATACGGGAGTCTCTAGGCCAGCAGCTCAGCCAGCATGAAATGGCACAGCTCTGAAGCCAGTAGAGCTACAGTGATTTACACTTCCAAAGGTGTCCCAAACTTCACCTCCTTGCTGGGCTTTGGCTTTATGGGTAAATAAAAAAATATATGTAAAAACTCAGCCCAAACTTTCTTCATCAGATGGGTTGTTCCTAGCACTTCTTTCTAGGACCTCTTGTAGACTCATTTACTGCTCATACAGAAACATCTGCTACAGCTTCATATCCAGGCTGAGATAGCAGTAATCAATCTGACTCTTAATTCAGGGCTTTGGCATCTGACTCAGTAGAGGAGCCCTGCATTCCTTTTAAAAGTCTTATGCCTTGTCACCACTTATCAGGAGATCATCTAGACCAACAAGGAGCCACTAATTCAACTGCTGATTGTGCCCTCATTGACTCTGGTACTCCACCGGGGTGAAGTCAACAGTTTCTCCTGTCGACCTCCCAAACACTGTGGAAATTCCAACTAAGATATGTTGACTCCAGTTAAGCTATTCACATAGCTGGAGTTGGGTACCGTAGTTTGACTTTGTTCCTTAGTGTAGACCTGGCTTTAGTTTTCCATGCTTTTATGGGAAAGTAGAAAAGAGTTGATATTTCTTGCCTGATCAGAGAAACGGAAAGGAATAAAAAATAAATTTTTATCCGCAAAAATGCAAATCAACATAATTTTGGGAAATATAACCCAAAAGGCTGGCCATATGAGAGGGGAATACTCAGCAAGGATGATAAAACACAACTGGGTAGCTGTGTACGTACATAATTTTATAACTTAATGTGCTGATCAATATATCCTGAGTTATAAGATTAACACGCACAACTTTTAAAGTTAGCTTACCTTTACGGAGCAAGGAATTAAATACATTTGCAACACTGCACACTAAACTGAATACCTCAGTTCAATGAAGGTGCAGTCACTTCGGAGGGGTCCAGAAAAAAGGTGATAAAGACATTCAGACATTCAAAACTAGTCTTAATGCAAAAGCCATACAGTAGTGAATAATTCTTTTGGGAACAACATGGGCTAAATGACCAAAGAGGCCATCTCTAATTTTTAAAATGCTCAGATTGTGGGGGAAAGAATTATTTAGAATAGCTAATGGAAAAGTGGGATGCAAACAAAAAATTAGGTGGGTCATCAGAAAACAACGCGATGAATTAGGCCATTAAATAGCATTGGAAAGGAAGCGTACATACTTCCATCTCTGGAGTTATTCATCTTAAGCAACACTTAGAAATACCCTTTAAAACAATTGTATGTTGGCAGCAGTTGGACTAGTTGATCCAAGGAGTCTTTTTCATCTCTAAAATGCAGTGCATGTATAATCCTCAGGACTGCTGTTTGTACACTAGACCTCCTGGAAAAGTCATTATAGAATTAAAGTTGTATCTGCAACTTTAATTCAGTCCCTTTGTAAGTCTGCATTAGAATACAGTCTTTATTATATTAGCACATGCTATTTCTTCTAGTGGACCCCGTCTCATTCAGTGCACAGAATGAATGGTGCTCACTGAATGAGCAGCCATTCAACACAGATTGTACCTCCCTAAACTGGGACTCTCTGGTTTGGCAACATTCATGATCTGGCAGGACCATGGATGTTCCTGGATCAGAAAGCTTAAGGGTAGCAGGGGCTCAGTGGTGCGGCTGGAAGCTGTTTGGCAAGAGGGGTGAAACAAGGCGGGGATTGGGGGCTGGAAGCGGAGCCAGTGGCAGTGAGGGGTGGTGGGCTCAGAGGCTGGTGGCAAGGGACTTCCCCTAGTATGGGAAATTCCCTTGGGACCGGTGAGTTCCCATGGGTACCGAACCAGGAAGGTCCAAAGTGTATTGTTTTCTCCTTATTGTTTACTGTGTGGCCTCATTCTTTATTGACTGCACACTATTCAAAACCTGCTTTAAATTTGGAGTTATTAATTTCCTCATCAACTTTTCTATGGCACTCGTCAGGATAGTACCACAAACATTAAATAATTTTGGTTCCCAAAACCCCTGTGAAGTTATGGATGTTTCACTAACTCTGGGTGCCTCTTTGAGATGCTCATGACATGACTTTTCAGAGCACTTCGAGCATTATATAGCACTTTATCTTTTCAAAGCACAGAACCTATTCACTTCCGCGGCAATCGTGAGCACTCAGCACTTGTGCAAGTCAGACCCCAGGGTCTCAAGTTGAGCACCCAAAACACAATGAAAATACAAATAGTGACTTCCTGTGAAAAGTTTGGTTAAGTGACTTGCCCAGCATCACGTAGTTTGGCAGGGCAGAGATAGACTCCAGTTCTCCAGGGCAACATTCAACTGCCCTAACGATGAGACTGTCCTTCCTTTTCATGCAGTCCCCTGCCTCATGCACTACACAACTTCCAAGTTCTGCAATAAATAAGGCAAGGATCCTCAGTATGGAATTTCCTAGCTTTCGAGTGCTTGACTTTGCATCCTTACTGTTCTTCTAGCATAGTGGCTTGTTTGTCATTTCCTAGTTTTTTAAAAGAGCAAACTGAAAAAAAAAACCCCTACCCAGAAATTGCATCATGTGGCATCATACCGATGCCCGTATGGGCCATCAGCAGGGTTGGAACTTTTCGATCCACTGCACAGCTGTCTGCCAATTGAGCTAACAGAGTATCTGACAGCAGTGTGAGACACATACTTTGCCAATGGCTTTCACAGATCTGATGACAGCAGAAGAATAGTGAGATTCTGGAATCTTGGAAGCCATGCCAGGAGGAGAGTGTGTTCCAGCAGTCAGAATAGATCCTGCTGCCAGTTCTTCTAAGCCTGACCCCCTTCTTCCTCATCAACTCTAACCTGTCTCCATCCCAGTCCTGTCTCTTCCCACGTCTAGTCTCCTTGTCCTAGTTCCAGTCCCATTCTCCTTGCCTAACCTGTCTCAACCGCCCCCCCACAAGGTCTCCATTCAAGTCCCAGTCTCCCTACCCTTCCAATATCTTTACTTGCCCATTCACTCTAAGTTCCTTCCACCTCAACTCCTTGTCCAATCTGTCCCTCTCTGCCTTCCTCACAGCTCTTTAACTCTCTTCCCCCCTGTCCTCATTGGCTCTTTATCTTATTTTCCCCTCCTTACTTCTCAGTCTCTGTCACAGTTTCAGCCTGAGACAGACACCAGACATGGAAAAATTCAGTCCTCTAGTCTTGCAAAGGTATAAACCACTGAAAATTGAGTCTTACAATGGATGTGTTAATAATAAGTGTTACTACAAGCTCTGCCTACAACATATGTCAAAGATTGCCTCCCTTGCTGTTGAGCTCAAACCTTCTGCCACAGATTACTTTGTCAGGAGGGATGAATATACGTAGACACAGGATTAAATGCAAATGTTCTTTCGTGGCATCTAAAGCGATATGAATGGTTTCAGAACTGCAATAAACACACTTCATGATGCAAAGGACTATCCCCTGAAGCCTTTATATAAAGAGAAGGGGGCAAAGTCTCGGCTCAGTTACACTGTGGTAAATCACTCTACCCTCCACTGTCATCGGAGACGACGAGGAGTTCTTGTATACTGGATTTACACCAGTGGAACTGAGATCAGAATCCGGCAGGATTTTTGCTATGCTTACTTTCACGGTCAGTTACCAGCAAGAGCAATCTCTGAAGGCGCCAAAAGGTGGGGGTGAGAGGGGAAGAAAAGGTAAGAAAAATAAAAGAGGGAACAAATTCAGTTTGTCATTTTTTTTCCAGTATGAGAAGCAGAACTTCTGAGCCCTTGGGCAAGGTATGTGGAGGCATGGGTCCATGTTCCCAGAAGGGGTGGAGTCTGGGATGGAAGGGGTGGGGCCTAGCTTCCCCTCGCCAGCCCTTCAGTGCCACCTGGGGCTTAAGTGACAATTTAAAGGGCTCAGGGAAGTTGCTCCCTTTTCCCACTCTCTGTCACAGGCCAACTGAGAAGACTCACATTCTAGATTCTTTTTGAAAAGTTATATTTTATTGCGTTCCTTACGCAACTAGAGAGTGGGGTTTTTTTTGTGTGTGTGCTTGTTGGTTGTTGGACACTGCAAGACTGTTCCATTGGTCCTACCCCCACAGTGAGCTTGGTAGCATAGATCCTTATGCCCACATGGAATAACTTGCAAAATCTGGGCTTCAGTTAGCTGATTAAACACACTTAAAAAACCCCTACACGTTAAAAACCACAAACCCTGCACACCTTTCAGGTGCAAGATTGTTGGAGGAGAGAAGCAGATACAGGATTAACTTTCTGAAGTTCTCCTTCCTGTCTACACCTCTGGTGGAATTGGAATTGAAAGTAATCTGCTCTTACCGGGACTTGTGAGGGCTCCCAGCGCACCGGTTGTTGTGGAGAGAGGATTTGCATTGGTGGTGGTTGCTGAGGTTTGGGCGGCGGCGGCGGCGGCGGCTAAGGTTGCCAAATTCTGTAACTGTAAAGCATTCATGCCTGCACAAAGAACAAAATGCATTTTCAGCAGCAGGGTTAATTAAGAGATTCCTCATTTAAAAACTGGATTTAATCTAAAGGGCTATAAGTCTTGTAAATATTTCTGGACTGACAGTTGTACAGGTGAGTTAAACCCTCCTATCATTCACTGAACAGCTACACCACAGGCAGGTCTGATATAAGCTACCTCAAGGTATGTCTACACTACCACCCTAGTTCGAACTAGGGTGGTTAATGTAGTCAATCGAAGTTGCAAATGAAGCCTGGGATTTAAATATCCCAGGCTTCATTTGCATCTTGCCGGGTGCCACCATTTTTAAATCCTCGGTAATTCGGACTCCGTGCCCGTGGCTACACGCGGCACGGAGCAGGTAGTTCGAATTAGGCTAATTCGAACTACCGTTACTCCTTGTGGAACCCTCAGACTGGCCCCAGCCAACATGGCTCATATCTCTCTTGCAGGTGAGAGGGCGGATGGTTTTACAGCCTGGACTTACAACTCAGGAAATTTGTGTTCAGTTCCCACTTACATCAAAGAGTTGCGCTGTGACAAGTCACTTAATCTCTCTGTGTGAAACATGGGGATAATAATACTTCCTGACCTCACACAGGTGGAGAGAAGGTCAATTAATTATTGCTTGAGAGGCACTCAGACCCTATCAAGTTCAGTCCCCAGACCCCCTCTTCACTTCTCTATTGCAACTACCTGCACAACAACAGCCAATTGTGATGACAATTTTTTCCTGAAATTCCTTCTGTCTATTTGGAACTGAATCGTGTCTATCAAATTCATTTCAAATTCAGCACAGCACAGCTATCTGACAGAAATGATTTTCAGTCACTACCATTCAGGGCCAGATTTGAACTGGAGACCTCTTGGTAGACTGTGCTATAATCAAGTGAGCCACCCAGATTCTCCAAATTGCTTATGAACTTATTCACTACTTTACAAGATGTAGTTAGTGAAGGATACATCTACATTTCAGAATGAGGTAAAGACCTTCAAGAGCTGGGTAAATGTAAACAGCAGGGAATTTAATTTAGATAAATATGAAATGGAACATCTGTTGACAGACAAATACTAAACAGCACGCATGCAAACTGGAAGAAGGATGATTAAAGAACAATGGGGCAAAGAACTTGAAGTCTCAATGGGATGCAGTTGCCCAGAGATGATAGTCTGAATGTGTGAATTGGCATCACAGCTATATACATAAGCATCATTTATAGGACAATGAAAATAGTAATGCCTCTTTCCCCCACCTTGATTTGGCCACATGCAGGAGTTCTGCGTATGCCATACGAAAAGGACATTGATAAATTAGAGAAAGTCCAGAGAAGAATGTTAAAGCAATGAACTATGACCACATGAGCAGGAGAACTTAATATGAATAAGGAGAAAATTAGAAGAGGGAAATATCATAACACTACAAATATTTGAGTGGTAATAAAATAAAAGAGCAGGAGGCATATTTTACAGAGGCTGAGCGCAGATGGCATAATAAAGAGAAGCAATAACTTTAAACTAACACAGGACAGAATCAGGCGAGCCAAACTTTGTGCTCAGCGCTCAGAAGTTTCCACTGTTCTAATATCAGAGCTTTTAAATACTGAGATCTTCTAAAAATCTGGCCACTTTATTGAGCTGTCTTCTGAGAACAGAACTCTTGACAACCAGCCCTAGTTGGGAATGTCAAGCACTTTTGAATAAATGGCTCAACCAAAAAAAAAATTGTGATAGATGATTGGATCAGTAATGTGGCTGAAGAGAGGTGTGGGGCCATCATCATATGCTTTGAGGAACTAATATAGGAAACCTCTCAAATTCTAAGAGAGGTTGAGAAATATACATCAAGTTTTTCCTTAATCCCTATAACCTATAATAGTTATAATGCACAATAAACATACAACTACTCTAATTACAAGGTACAAATAACTAAGATACTCAGAGAGTAGTTATTACCTATAGGCAGTGGCCCTGATATTCAAGGGGACTTGCACTTGTCTCTAGCTGAGAAAATGTACCTCCAAATTCATCCCTTTGCGATCATCACTGCAGTTAATGAGCAAGCATTCGGCGCTTGTTCACTCACTCACACACACACACACACACACAAAATCCATTGCCGAATGCTTGTTCATTAACTGCAGTGATGATAGCAAAGGGGTGAATTTGGAGGTACACTGTCGCAGTTGGAGACAGGTACAAGTCCTCTTGAACAGCAGGGCCACAGCCTATAAGTTTTTACAGACTGCAGCAAGTCGTTATGCTGTCTGGTATGAAGAAGGAAGTTGGCTACGGCCCCTCCCCATCGTCTACACTTTCTATTGCTGGTATTAGAGGTCCTCAGGAAGCACAATGGTAAAGATTATGCCTGATCCTTATGCAGGGGCACAAAAGTAGGGGAGGAAAAACATAGAGAAGCTCCTAGAATCCTCTTGTTCACATACTTGTGAACTCATTTAGGCCACCTACAATCTGCTGCTACATGGAGGTGGGTGCATAATGTACTTTCTACAATTCTGATTTACATGGTGAGCACCTCTCGAGTAGTTCAGCCAATGGATCACCAAATTTACAGACAAAGGAGACCTATTAATTTGCTTCCCCCACCTCTCTTTGCAAGTGTGGGGAACATTTTGTAGAATAGGAAGTGGGCTTAGGTTTCTTTTGCTCCAAAGTGCCTTTAATAAAATTTCATGTGCTCTAGAAGTATACACAACTTAACATTAAGACTCCAGAAAACAATGCAAATCTTCATGGAGGACATCTTTAATGCCATTCTGCAGTTTGGCTGGTAGAAATAAGAAATAAAGCAACACGTCTTGATTGCTCTCTCTCACAAGAACTGTTCATCTGCAATTTATGGGACTATGTAGCACTTTAAAGACTAACAAGATGGTTTATTAGATGATGAGCTTTCGTGGGCCAGACCCACTTCCTCAGATCAAATAGTGGAAGAAAATAGTCACAATTAATAAACCATCTTGTTAGTCTTTAAAGTGCTACATAGTCCTGTATTTTGTTTCAATTAGACTAGTTGCTGATCAGAAGGAGGTTGTGGTTGAATTATATTTTCTCTGTGGTGATGCTTCCTTTAGGTACTTTTAAATAGTTCACAATTTAGAGAGGTAAATAGTGGTGAACAAAGATATATGCAGCAATGCTGAAAATAATTTTGAGAAATAGCTCCAGAGTGGTGGAATCGCACCAATTTCAGCAGATTTCTCTGGAACTCATTTTATAAGCACAAAGAATTTGAAACCATTCTCTACTGCTTTCTACTTCATGGTCATTGAAGAGCTATGTGGGTGCAAGACTCCGGGAGCTGAGACACAGCATATACGCAATGCTTGAAGGAAAATGAAAACCAAAGAATTAGAGATAAGGATAATCAGCAGCACCAAAAGCAAGAACATGCCTTATGCTGGAGAGCCAGTTTAGCACTCAGGAGGAGGAAAAATGAATGCCCACCTCTCCCCATCTCACAAAACCCTTTTATAGAACAAAGAAGCAAGGAGAACAGTTTTCTGTAGAAGCAAAGGGAAATCTCCCCCACTAAGGCTACGTCTACACTGCAGGCTTCTTGCACAAGAGCATGTGCACACTGCCATGTACTTTTGCACAAGAGCGTCCATGGCAGTGTGGATGCTCTCTTGCGCAAGAAAGCTCTGATGGTCATTTTAGCCAGAGGGGTTTCTTGTGCAAGAAACCCTCTTGTCTGTCCACACTTGCCTTTTTGCGTAAGAGCTCTTGCGCAAAAAGGCTTATTCCTTATAGAAAGAGGAATAACTCTTCTGCAAAAAGCCCTGTGTTCTTACAATTAACTGTACTCTTCCTTGCACAAGAGTGCGCTTGTAGTGTGGACGCTCCGCAAGTTTTTGCGTGAAAATGGCTGTTTTGACGCAAGAACTCTGCAGTGTAGACATAGCCTCAGAGAGGTATTTTTCAAACCAAATGAATGAAAAAAAGCAAGAAAGACACATCAAAGAAGTCCTCTTCCCACCCATCATATGTCACTGGAGAAGTGACCACAACACAGTGGACACAAACCAGCTCTTCAGATGTTATTGGGTGTCAACTCTGGGGCCTCCAGAAAAGAGCCATTTGTCGTTGTTGTAATGTGTCAGCGAAGAAGACCAAAGACTCGAACCAAGTGGAACTCCAGAGTGAGGATATTAGTAAAAGGCTCAGAGAACACACCCAGTGCCCGGGTGCTGTAGAACTGATTACATCAACAGGCGTATCTCCTCATTCCCATCCCAAAGGCTCTTGGCTAAAATCCATAAATAATCCATCATCAGTGTCACTCTATTTAACCTCCATCAGATGTTTTCTCATTGCTGCTGCTCCTTGTTTATTGGCTTTTTCCCTTTATGTCAAATGTGTCAACCTCACAGCTTGTGAGGACAAACTCAGAAGAGGGAACTGTTGATCTGCAGACCCGACAGCCAATTTGGTTCCACAGCAGAAGTAGATTCCGGTTCAGTTAACCTCCGGCCAATGTATAGTTTTGTGGGATTATTCTGCCTGGCACACACTCTCCTTTCACAAACTCTCTTTTTTTCTGATGTTTATGCTTTTCACATCATAAAGGTTTTTCAAAACAGCCCCAAACCCCGGAACAAACGTGGAGATAGTGATTCAATCCTATTCATTTGAAACGGCTGCATAGTCAGCAAATGTACCTCTTGCTGAAGAAATGCAAATCACTTAGTGAAGAACAGTCTCATAGGCACATAAAAACATGAAATTCCATCTGCAAGGGGTGAATTCCTGGATAAGAAAGAACTCTTGATCTTTGTGATGGAGAAAATGTTGGGAACTGAAGCAAAATTATTTATAAAGAGCTAGAACCACATTACAATTTGATATAATTTTTAATAATGTGTATTTACCAGTGTGCCATCAGCCTGGCAAATAGTCAGAACTACAAGGAATACAACTTTCATTTTGTTACTTGGCAAATTAAAAAAATAAAATTAAATTATGTACAAAA